AATTTAATATTTAATACAAAACATCAAAATTATGAATGGACTTTCAAAATTTATTTATTCTGAGTACGTAAAGTGACATTCATCTGTTAGTTTGTCGTACCATCTGTTGTGGCTTGCATGTTGCTGTAAAGCTGGAGGAAATGCCACTGGTATTTCAAATACCAGCAGGGTCACCCATGGTGGACAGGTTTCACTGGAGCTTCCAGACTCAGATATACTCAGAAGAAGGTAGGGACCATCCACTTCTCAAATTGTCCAGTGAAATCCTTATGAACACCAGTGAAACACTGTCTGATATGTTACTGGAAAACTTTATGAATAGCTCTGAAACATTGTCTTATATAGATCCAGAAGATGAGACCCTCAGATTGGAAGGAACACATAAAATGACTGTGAACATGCTGCCTCCCTGAAGTAGAGTTGGCCTCATGATGTGGATGGAGTAAAGCTTTTGGGACCTCCGTTTGCTAATGTGGCATGACTCAAAATGGGAAGAAACTGGTGCAAACATCCATTAATAATCAGAACATGGAATGTATGAAGTGTGAATCTAGGAAAACTGGAAGTTGTCGAAAAATGAAATGGAACACATAAAGATCGATGTCCTAGGCATTAGTGAGATGAAATGGACTCAATTTGGCCATTTTGAATCAGACAACCATGTGATCTACTATGCCAGGAATGATAAATTGAAGAGGAATGGCGTGGCATTCAATGTCCCAAAACTATCTCAAGGTTTATCCTGAAGTGCAATGCTGTCAGTGATAGGATAATATCCATATGACTACAAGGAAGAGACCAGTTATTACTCAAATTTATGTACCAATCACCAAAGCCAAAGATGAGGAAATTGAAGACTTTTACCACCTTTTACAGTCAGAAATTGACCAAACATGCAATAAAGATATGTTGTGTGTTACTGGTGATTGGAATGCAGAAGTTGGAAACAAAGAATCACCAGTAGTTGGAAAATATGACCACAGCGTTAGAAATGATGTTGGAGAATTTTACAAGAACAACACTTATTCATTGTAAATACCTTTTGTCAACAACATAAATGGAAATGGCAGCTATACACTTGGACTTCACCTGATGGGACACACAGGAATCAGATAGGCTATATCTGTGGATAGAGGCAATGGAGAAGCTCAAGATCATCAGCCAAAGCAAGAACTGAGCTGCCTGTGGAACAGCCCATCAACTACTCATCTGTAAGTTCAAGTTGAAGCTGAAGACAATTAAAACAAGTCCATTAGAGCCAAAACAGGGCATTGATTATATCCTACCTGAATTTTAGAGACCATCAAAAGAATAGATTTGATGCACTGAAAACAAGTGACCAAAAACCAGACGAGTTGTGTGATGACATCAACAGCATAAGACAAGAAGAAAGCAAAAGGTCATTAAAAAGACAGGAAAGGAAGAAAAGAACAAAATCAGTCAGAAGAGACTCTGAAACTTGCTCTTGAATGGAGAGTAGCTAAAGCAAATGGAAGAAATGACAAGATAAAAGAGCTGAACAGAAGTTTTAAAAGAACAGCTTGAGAAGCCAAAGTTAATTATTATAATGAAATGTGCAAAGACCTTGAATTAGACAACCAAAAGGGAAGAAATATATTGAGCATCTCTCAAGCTGGAAGAACTGAAGAAACAATTCAAGCCTCGAGTTGCAATATTGAAAAATTCTCTGAGTAAAATACTGAATGGTGCAGGAAACATCAAAAGAAGATGGAAGGAATACATAGAGTCACTGTACCAAAAATAATTGGTCTATGATCATCTATTTCAGAAGGTTGCACATGATCAAGAACCAATGGTTATGAAGAAAGATGTCAAAGCTGCACTGAAGGAACTGATAAAAAACAGGACTTGATGGAATATCCATTGAGATGTTTCAACAAACAAATGCCACAAATACTCATCTATACCAAGAAATTTGGAATATAGCTACCTGGCCAACTGACTAGAAGAGATCCATATATGTACCCATGTAATCATTCTAAAGAAAGTTGATTACCAATCTCATCATGGGAATTA